CTGGGGACCTATTATGGACTTGTTCGGAATGGATTCCGATCGGAATTATTCCGTTTTCCCTAGAAAAGACAACAGAAATCTAGGAAATAACTGAACAATTCCGATCGAAATCCATTTCGAACAAGTCCATAATAGATCCCCTGATCTTTTAACTTGAGGAGAGTGAGGCAGCAGTCGGCTAGAAGCCACTCAATTTGACTAAATGACTAACTTTGTCTCCTTTCTTCTTCAACTTTGTAATTGCGAGAGCGTAGTGGAAGCTAATATGTTACATATATATATATATTTTTATTAGGCGCCTAGCGGATATACACCAGAGCAATGGGCAGCTGCACAACAGCAAGGTTGGGCTCAATGGCAACAATGGCAACAACAATATCAACAATGGCAGGCACAATATGGTGACAAGGTATAATATAAAAATATATTGATGTAACTTACTCTTTTAAACATATAAATATAGAATGTATAAAAATAACTATATATAACGATAAATAAGCATAAGTAACATGACATAACATAATGAAATTAATCAAATTTTTGAGAGAAATTGGTATCAATAATTTTTTTTATCATTGAAGCACTAGCATTAGACCTATCATTTTTTTTATAAAATAATTATATTATTATATTATCGCAGGAATGTATATATACATAATGGATAAAAAATATCTTTAAGATATATAGCTTTTTAAAGCTTTTTTGGATTCTTATTATTGAGTAGTATAATGAGATTTTAATCAAAGACATTAATTTATATTTACAAAAAACTTCATACTTTTATATATAAATAATTTTAAATTTTAAGTATTAAATTATTAGTCAGTATATAATATAATTGTAGTACAAATAAAAGCAATATGTTTATGATTATTATTAGAAATCTCTTGTAACAGTTTTCTCTATTTTGGTGCAAAATTATACGAAACAAAGAGAAATATATAAATATATCTTTAATCATCTTTTATCTATTCTTTTTAAAATAATGTTAGGTAAATGTTGTAAAAGTAAAAATTATATGTATATATCTTAAAAATTGATGTATTCAGAAAATATTTAATATCTGTAGAAACATTAATAGTTTCAATTTATGAATTTCCATTAATAGGAAATTCTTTTCAGTATCAGGAGATGAAGCATTTGTCAGCGCAGGATATGAACTTGACGAGTCAAATGCAAGTGTCATCAAATGTGCAACCACCGCCTCTTCCTAAGGAGGAAACGCGACCTCCTTTGCCCCCCGCTACCACAAATACATATCAATTTACAAACCTGCCACCCCCGCACCAAAACAATCTTCCATTATTCCCCTCGAAAGAATCTGCCAATAAGACGATGTCGCAAGCGAATATAACAAATTATCCTCCGAATCCACCATTACCTACTACGAGCCAACCACCTTTACCACCTGAAATCGCCGAGAATAGGGAGAATGTCACAGCTGAAAAATCTAATAGTAATGTAATTAGTGAATCCAATAGTGGTAAAAAATTGAACTTAGAAGATGACGAATTGACCGAAACTGAGAAAACATTTGACGCACAGTTCAAACAGTGGGAAGAACAGTTTAATGGCTGGAAGCAGCAAAACGCTAATCATCCAGACAAGGTAAGTACTATTTTCAATATACATAGTTTATTACGAAATATTAAATAAATGTATAATTGAAGAGAGTAATTATTCACATTAGGAGACACATTTTCGATGAGGTTGATTTTGGTGTTTGTTGAAAAAGTAAAGATACCGAATGACTTTTATCTTATTTCGACGATTGTCGACGATGAATAATTTTGCAAATAATTTTGATATATAATTATATTGAAAATCTAATATTTACATTACTATGCTTTTTAATATTTTGAAAAAAATGCATTTTGAAATTTAATTATTAGTCGAAGTAAAATTAATGGACATTCTTATTTTTAATATAATATACATCAAGATCAACGTTAAAATAATTGAAAGCATGTATGACTTGACGTCACAAATAATTTAAATTGCACTTTTTATAGAGATTACATCGATATTTCCGTATTTCAGGCCCAGTATAAACATTACGAAGCAAAATGGACATCATGGCGTGAGAAACTTCTCGAACGGCGTGAGCAGATGCGCAAGAAACGCGAGCAACAGAAACAGGCTGCCGCGAAAGCAGAAGCTGAAAAGAACAAGAGCATACCTGGCGATGATAAAATACTAAACATCTTATCCAACACCGACAATCAGCGATTGATCAACAATCTATTGGGTATTGGGAAAACTTTGGGTCTTACAGGGAAGCAAAATATTCCCGCATCTTTATTGCCCCCGCCACCGCCTCCACCGGTGCCGGAAACCACGAATTCTAATAATCAACCTGCCACACAAGGGATGCAGCAAACTCCATCGCAAATGAACATGATTAGACCCGCAGCACCAAATTGGTCGAATCAACAACAATGGGGAAATCAACAATATAATCCCAGAATGGAAGCGCCGGGGTACGGTCCAGGAATGTCGACAATGCCTCCGACAATGCTCTCAACACCGGATGTTGGGCCACCTCAAATGACCTCGTCAAATTTTGCACAACCCCAGTTGAATCTGCCAAGTAACATCACACCAAACTTTTCACAACCTCCGCCAAATTTTTCTGGTAATAATCGAATGCAATTGCAAAATGTGAAAGCGCCGGGTCCAGCAAACATGAAAGATTGTCCTCCGTTTGGTTCGGCAACTAATTCTTCAAGTACGAATGTGCGTTTTATGCATCCAAACGATCGACCACCTCACAATTTTGACGGGCAGCCGAACTTTAGAAGAGGCGATCAGGAACGTTTCGGACGAGATAATACTAATCCAAATTTGCACGAACAAGATCAGTTTAGACCTTCTACTGATACTTTTGACAAAGTCGACGCACAACGTTTTAGAAGAGACGATAGAAGTGATTTTGGGAATAATCAATTAAATTCGCAGAATAATTTTAATCCAGATAATGATCGATTTGGACCAGCAAATGACCGTTTTGGACCAGGGAATGATCGTTTCAATAGGGAGACCAATCGGTTTGGACCGATGGGAAGTGATAGGTTTGCATCGGGAGGTGATCGATTCGGATCAAACAACGATCGTCCAGGATCTGATCGATTTAACAATGAATGGTTTGGACAGGAGGGTGATCGATTTAAACCTGGAAATGATCGACTCGAGATGGACAAGGATCGCCGTGGACCTGGAAACGATCGATTTCCAGATAATGAGCGACTTGGGTCGGATCGGTTTGTACCAGGTGGACAATTTGTTTCTGGAACTGATCGTTTCGACTCTAAAGATCGTTTCTTCTCTGGTAATGATCGATTTGGTTCTAATAGCGAACATTTTCGTCCGAACGATCGATTTGGTAGAGATAACGCAGATTATTTCGATCCAAAAGATACAACTGATCACAGACGAGACAGTTTTGGTACTAATACTCGAAGTTTCAATAGAAATCCATCATTTAGTCCGCCGAACGAGCTACCGCCAGAACTAAGGAAACTCATGGAAAAGCGAAAAGCAGCAGGGGATGTATTCAGGCCAAGTTTTATTGATTCCGATAAAACCACTAGTGTTGGTTCTCTTAGCGAGAGCTTCAAAAAGATTACCGGTGACTCACCCTTTAGAAGCTCCTTCGATTTTCAAAAGACTCCACCAAATCGTAGTGGATTAGTAAGTAGTGGACCATCAAGTTTTCAATCACATCCTTCCGACTTGGGACAAATTTCCACTTTGTCGTATGGACCACGTCGTATGGATCACCTTTTCAACCGCGATAACGAACCTCCTTTCAGAGGACATCCAGACAACTTTGCTAAACACAATCCCATAGATCACAATGAACAAATAGGGAAGAATATGGAAACCAGACCGCATCCCAATCAGTCTCAGCCAACAAATATTCAGTCTCTAGATGCAGTTAAACAATCTGAAAAGATTGAAACTGCTGAGTCTGATTTTCCGCTGCAAACTGGTAATATTGCAGATGCAAAAGAAACAGAAGCGATGCAAACGAATGAGGCTAATGATTCTACTAAGCAAAACGACACCGTTACTTTGGATGGCTCGAAGAATAATAATGGGGCAATAGAGGTTATAGTTATTAACGATGATAATCCTTTGAAACAGGATGACAAGCAATCTGATAATCAAATAAAAAACAACACCGAAAAAGTAAATGAATCTAATAACGATAGCATTATTAAACAGCCTGAAAGCTTGCCCTTCATGGGTGAAAATGATTCACGGCCAGTGGATTTGAACATGGAACCACCACCGGAGCTGCCCAATTTGTGCCCTGTTTCTACGGACTCCAGTCAAAATGTGCCGTTGAATCCGAACAAAGATTTTGATAGAAAGGGACCAGCTGATAATCAGTTTGATATGCGTTTTAATAATTTTGGCCCCAAGGGGATGGAATTTAAATCTGGTGTGCCATTTGGACCTCGGGGACCGTCAATGTTTGGCCCTAGAGGTCCTCGCGCGTTTCCAACTGGTCCTCCGTCAGGTCCTCCTCCACTTTTATCGCAAAGTTCTATGGATATACAATTGGGCCCACGAGGTCCCAAAGATGATCAACTTGGACTTAATGTACCTACTGAAAATCGATTTAGCCCTAGAAGATTCATTGAAGAGCAATATGGTGATCGAGATCGCAATAATGAGTTATCTGAACCTCCAAATAATGAGAAATTTGATCCACGTGGCCCGGTAGACAAGTCAATTGGTCAGTTTGAACCTCGAGCGCCGGTAAATGCAAAGTTCGGCCTGAGAGGACCCATTGATCGACAGATTGGACCAAGGGGACCAATTGATTTACCATTTTTACCGCGAAATCCTGGTCCATTTGGACCCAGAGGCAACAATTTGCAATTTGGCTCTAGAGGAATTAATGATCGTTTGGATTCCCGAATACTTTCCGAAAGACCATTTGGTCCGCGAGGGCCTAATGAAGGATCATATGGTTTTAAAAGTTTTAGTGATGCACTTTTCGGTAAACGTCTTTCAGACTCGCAGTTCAGCGCTATGGGATCTAATAAGTTTGATAAAACGAATGAGGTACCGTTTGATAAGAGACCTCCTTTCGATGACAGTGGATCTTTTGGTTTTTCTGACGAAAGAACTCTTGGTTCTCAAAGATCTAATGAAGGTATGACTGGTCCCCGTGGTTCTAATGAACCTATTTCTCTTAGTTCAAATGATGCTCTGCTTCCACCTAACTCGAAGAATTTCAATGTGAACCGATTTGAATCCCGAGATTCTAACAGTGGACCTTTCGGATCGTCGGACTTCAAAGCGAAAGGTCCGATGACTGATTCAACTAATGTGAATTTTCCACCTCCAAGCGATTCTTTGCTCAGTCGCAGCGATTACATACGTAGAAACCCCTGTATCAGAAAAGAACAGTTTGAAGATAATATTTTTGCTAAGAGGGCCAGATATGAAAACCCAAAACCGGGTGAAGAATTCAATAGAAGTTGTCTGGACAAAAATCTCGATATAGAAATGCGGAAAGGTAACACCAGTGAGTATGTTAGACGTATACCTGATCTTAATAAAAAAGAATTAGATACTGCACCTCGTCCGGGATACGGACCGAACGACACTTGGAAGGATAAGTTCGGCAACATTCAGAAGTCCGATGCAGAGCAACACAATATAATCGACAGAAACGTTCCAAATAAGTTCGACGAGAGATCGAGGATCGAACCAAAGGTGAGTGATTACAAGTCGCGATATGGTGAATCCCCGACTGGACCCGATTTCCAATCGAAGCATGCCTCTAATTTATTCATGAAACGATCTCCATTAAAGGGTGGTCAAGAATTTTGCGTACAGAGGCAATTTAATTATAATCACGGCGAAGGTGATAAGAAATTCGTTGAATCGCTTCTCTTCACTCCGACGAAGGTGATTGATTACGGGCACGTATCTCGTCCTTTGACTATGGATCAGCATCTGTCATCGGCCCAGTCCTTTGATTACGGTCATGGGAATTTAAAACCAGCAGTTAATCGCGAACAGCAACAGCATCATTATCCGAAGAGAGATTTTAGAAACTGGGTGGAGAATGAGCAGAATCTGAGGGAATATACTGAAAAGATGAGCAACTATGAAAATACCAAAGGACATAAACCGAGGAATTACGCGATGAATTACGAGATGCGCAAATCTGTGGATTATAATAAACGAAAGGAACATGATTGGCAATCGAATAAGAAAACCGACGAGGAGAAGAACGGTGATCGTAAAGAGAGAGGATATAATCCTGAATCAGAATCTCGAATTTTTGAACGAAATGATAATGATCAGAGCGACCGATACCAAAATGATAGAAATATTCACAAAGGTAATTTTAAAATAAATATTTATATTTCAGGAATATATATATATATAATACATTTTGTTTCAAGTAACAATAGAATCTTAGATAATCAGAATTTTTAAATAAATTGTAAAAAATTTTTACTCTAAATCTGAAACAGTAAATAGTCACTGATTCACTGATTCAGATTTAAAGAGATACTATTTTATTAATTAGTTTATAATTAGTTATATAAATATATAAACTAATAAACTATTAATTATTTGTTAACTAATGCTAATTTTGCTATTTGGCAATACTGGAATAATTTTATTCTTAATATTTATTATATATTTACTTTAATATCACAGTCTTCATGATAAACATGTTTGCGCAGTAATATACAGTTTTACTTCCTCATTAAGGGGATCTTAAAGCCGTTCGTATTACCGACCAAATTCTATATCTGTCCTTGTATAGACAATGATGATAGACAAGGATAGACATGGTTATAGGTTATAATTTCTTCGAACGTCTTATTTTTATTCCAGGCTTTCAATCTCAATTTCAAAGGTACGTTATTGTTTGTGCACGTCATCTGAAGGGTGGGAACATTTCATTTCGTACATATTACTTATACAACTGTTTATATTAGAAAATGAGGTAACAGCATTTTTAATTTTTTTCAATTATTACTAATTATTTTACATTCCCACCCTTCATTAGTACCTATACTTTACTCCTGTAAAAGGATTTTGCGATCTATAAAGCCGTTTCAAAATTAGACCTTTGACTGGAATTGTCGGTAATTGAGTCACTTTAGCATCCCCTTAAACACATGAAAAATAATCTAAATAGCGAATCGACAAATTACAGTCAAATATTTTCTTTGATCTGACCTCGTATCTAAAAAAAAAAAAAATCAACTTTCTGCTTGTTTAAATATTTTTGTGCATTCTTTATTCATGAAAATGGGCCCAGAATCATCGAAGATGTTTTTAAAACGTTTGGTCAAAGTTTATTAATTTATTTTATTAATTGTAATTGATAAAAGAATGTCATTTACAACCATAAAAGTGAAATGTAGAATACGCTTATAAAGTTTAGAGTGCTGATTTCGTTTCAACACGTACATAAATTGTACAATGTAATTGTACATTGAAACATTCAGGTGAACAGTTTATACTAAGTATTTTATTTTATCCATTATCTTTCTATATCTTTCAGATATAGAACGGATTCAAGAGACACGTGATAGTTTCCGAAGGGAAATGAATAAAGACAATGACAAAGATGATAATAGGTATTGTAGAAATATTTTATTTACCTTTTTGTAATATAAAAGTAGCTAATGATGTTATGTAAAATGAAGTTTGCGGCATATATGTGTTCTAAATGTATATGGCATTTTCTTCAGATTGAAAGGAAATGTTAACTGGCAGGAGAATTCAAACAAAAACGTCGTAGATACAAAACTACAAGAGATCAGGTATGTTACTTTTTGAGTCTGCAAAAGCTTTAATCTACATTTAATCTAATACTCTAATACGGAGAAAAAAGGGCAGTAAAGGATATTAAACAGAATTTAATTCTTAAAAATGTAATTTTAGTAAAAACAAAGCTTTCTCTCTATGAGGAAGCAATATAATAATTTTAGTAAATATATTTTCATAAAAGGAGATAAAGACAATGAGAGAGGGGAGGGGATACCTTCGATTAAATTTTATGTACAAAGTATTTATTAAATTATATGTCTATTGTTACGGATAAATTTAAATTACTAATCAAGAATTAATTCAGGAATAAACAGGTTTGATATCGTGCCAAATATAAAAAGAAAAAAATACAAAATTTAAAAAAATTAATACTATTTTTAACGATATTTTTTAGGAAATAATTTTTTTTACATATTTTTTGCTGGGGTAACTTTACTGATATTATTGGTAAATGGTCACCAATCATTTTATTAATAATATTGATAAATTATTAATATTATTGGTAAAATAATTGGTAAAAAAATCATACACCAATTGGTATTATAATCATTGATAACTAATTGATTACCAATGATTGATAAAATAATCATTTTGACTTTAAGTTAATGTCCTAGTTTGGCTATGGTTATCTTTAGATAATCATGACAACTGCGTCTGACAGATTAATATCTACATGTAAAAAAGATAAAATTAAAAACTAAATACAACGGATTGTAAAATAAAACATTAATTAGTAAAATTATAGTTTAGGCTTTTGTAATTAATGTGTTAGTCAGTGCACGTTTTTAGAGCACAATACATAAATATCTTTAGTTAGGATATATTTAGATTGTGACCTGAATCCCAGCAAAAAAATATGTCCAGAAACGTGCCTTATGGAAATATAAGTATTAAGGGATTTACGCCTTTTCTTAGAGGAAACGACAAAGGGAATAATAATGCAAAATAATGCAATATATTAAAAAAGAGTATTCAAACGTTACAAGAAAAGTTGATGAATGTTATATTGAAAATTAATAAATTTTATGTAGGACAAATATGTATTTGTTACACATTATCTGTTATTATACAACATAACAGAGAAATTAGTCCTAACGTGAAGTTTTATTCTATACTACTATGGAAATTATTCCCATAGAACAAAAATTTTTCTCCAAAAATCCCAAATTCCAATTTTTTACATAGCACCTTGAACTGTTTCCACTTGTCAGTGGTATTTTTATTTGTTACATTTACAATAGGATTACTGAAAGTAACACAAAAATTTATGAAGATGTGTTATGATCATTTTTAGTAGATCTTTTCTTTCAATTATACTTCGATAATGTTGGCGAAATTTGATGGTTTTATTAATTATATTTTATCATGTAAATATTGCGCATATGCAGTTGTGCATTTGCTGCAACATGATTTATGCTATATTTGTCGAAGTTTGAAAAAGGGATTTATAGATTTTTTAAGATGCCATGAGATTTATGAGCTATTTTATGTTCTATGATGTTTTCACAATTTTTTGAGACGGATATCTACATATCTGGGCTTGAGTAACCAAATAATAATTATTTCATGTAATTTTTCGGATATCCGAATGTCAATAAAATACTGACATAGCAGATATATCAAATTTAATATATCTGTGTTACAGTCAGTCTGATTAATATATTAATTACGCATAGGTATCAAATACTATGCATATACTCAACAAAATTTACCATATAAGTCTATCGATTATTTTTCATAATTTTTAGTATACGCCCTTTAATTAAATACTATATATATAATATAGTTTGATGAATGCTGTTCTGCATGTGTAACAGTCTTCTCCGTTTGGCGGAGCTATAAGAAACGCTTCTGTAAAAATGAATTTACTTTAAACAAATATTTGTGCCAAATTTTTATTAATGCTCTTAACATAATACATGTAATATGTATTTATACATATTATTACACATTTATATCTTACATATTATTACACACATTTTATTCTCTACGATTTTACCGCAAGATGGTTATAATTCTACGTCTATAACTCTAATATTGATTACAATAAATTTTTCTATTTTTATCTCTGATAAATTGAATTTCTTACGGTATAGCACTGATCTGTTAAAATTGTATTTGAAAATTTATTACTCTCTAGACATAAAGAGAGGATACGCATGTCGTTACTACTTATAATGGATATCTTATATCCGACGCACCGAGTTTTTTATAATATATAAATGATATTTATACCAAGTTTTTATTGTTGCTCTCATTAAAATGTTCATAATATGTCATTTTATTGTACCTGACAAATATCTCTCATTTTACTTATTTACTGTAAGATATTTGTTATTTTACTTACAGTATATCGAGAGATCTGTTCACAATAAGGTTCTCACATTTTATGTCTGACAAATCGAATTTTTTTCGATAAATGATATTTGTACTGAATTTTTATTACTGTTCATATATGATATGATATACAGCAGACATTTTACATATGGTATCGATATGTTTATATGGAATAATTTTCTTTTAAAATGTTCGATACACTCGTGGATACACACTTTTTAAAGCTAATAGTACAATTACATATGAATATTTAACGAAGGATGCGTTTGTTGCGAAATACTTTTTTCAAGTTGTCATTTACATGCATATGCAACTGCATAATTACTAAGAAGAATTTCTACAATACAAATATATATTTATTTGCATTTACTTGTGCTGCGCTTGTTATCACAAATATTACTATATTTTTATTATAAGATTATTTATATAAGATTGATTAGAGAATCCATTCGTTTTGTTTATTAGCACAGAAACAAAAAACGAGTGATTTTTTTCGATCAATCTGTAATGTAATTATTTATAAGTGTACGGTCACGTTTTTCTTATTTTATTAAGAGACAAATGTATGTTACAGCCTTTCTCTAGACACAAAGAAAGATGTTGCGGAATCAACTACGAAAACCTTGGAATTGGCAAAAATGCCAAATTACACCATGGTCGATGACTTATTGTGCCCACCGGGTCGCCAGAACAGACCACCAAAAATAGCTATCATCCTCAGAGGACCACCGGGCAGCGGCAAGTCTTTTGTGGCTAAACTTATTAAGGTACGTTATAGTAAAGGCTTAAATATATTATTACGTGTATTAACAAACATTAGTAAATTATCATGTGTGAAATATAAATATATTAATATATTAATTAATATATTACGAAAAAGACTCTATTTTTATATTCGACAACGTTTGGCTAATATCGTGACAATTCGACCATTTGGTTATGGTCAGATTAATCGTCAAGACTTTTTCGACAATGGATTTTGGTCGTTTCTAAATGAGATGCTTGTATGTAAGTATCAAAGATTAAATCAATTTAGAAACGACCAAAAACCATGGTCGAAAATAAAAATAGAGTCTTTCTCGTTTATTAATTATTGGTGAAACAAATACATATACTTTTCTGTTATTAATATATTACTTTGAATGATACATATTATATACTTTGAATAATTAGTTCAATTGCATCATTCTATACATTCTACAAATGTATGAAGATACATCTTGTTTGTTATACTATTTTCTTTATTTTCTTGCTGTGCAGGATAAAGAGGTCGAGCAAGGTGGCTCTCCGCCAAGAATACTGAGTTTAGATGATTACTTCCTCGTAGAAAAGGAAATAGAGACTAAGGATGATAATGGAAAGAAAGTCACAGTTAAGGTATAATACTCATGTTCCTGATAAATTG